CGGTACAGCAACGTTACTTCTATTGGGGTACCTCGACAATGTGTGAAGAACACAACTCTGCTGGGTTTTCACATTAAAAAGGTACAGAGCATACCTTAGTATTTATATGAAATTAGCTTCTACAATTCCTAACTTTGTATAGGGAGCATGCGGTAGCACATCACAGACATAAAGCTGAGTGTTCTGAACCAGGGCTAGGTCTACATCAGCAGATGCAAAAGGAAGCTGGGGCAAAGGCTAAAATCACAAGTAGCAAACAAACATAAGGAAAACGGAAGGATTTCTTCCCACTAATCAAATATGGATGATGTCTGGGCATCAAAGCAGAACATGTTTTTAGGAATGATGAAGAAATGAGGTTTAAAGAATGTCAAGCCAGCTAACTTTCACACATAAGGGAGCAGCCTGCTGCAACCTGGAGTCATCCCTGACAAAACACACACACAAAGACCACACACTTAAGATGATGCCAACTCAGTACAGTGACAGATCCAACAGTCACACTAGCATGATATAAATGTCACAAATATATTAAGCATAAAATTGATGTGGTGCAATTGAAAGATCCAACAAAGAGTACAAAAAACAAAAAGGAAGATGTTACGATTAGTCTGACAATTAGGTGAAGCTATCCAAGCTCTGCTTGAGGTTAGATATGAAGACACTTCAGTAGTCCTGACATAACTTACACAAAGGCAAACATGTAATACATTACGACAAACAGAAGATACAAGGGTTTGTCATGCCTGGATGTGTGCAGGAGAAAACCAAGTTGAATCCAAACACTGGGCTGCAGACACAGGATGGCATAGTATCTATTAGAGAGAAGGAGAGTCCAGAAAAAGAATCATTCATACATGGAAAATATAATCTCTGCTTCTTCTTGCAGGGCACACTTGTATTGCCAAATCTGCACTCTGTTGTGTATGACTCTGAGCATTGGGCAACCCCTTGGAAGTTCAACCCAAACCATTTCCTTGATTTGGACGGCAACTTTGTGAACAAAGAGGCATTCTTGCCTTTCTCAGCAGGTAATGCTCTGACATTTAAATATTCCTGTTCACTGCATCTTGCAGCAAGACTAAAACCACCACTTCTTCATTTTAAAATTTTTAAAACATACTTTTATAAAAATGTATGTGACACAAAGACTTAAAAGTCAGGTGTTCTATTGTAAGAGCCACAAATATCATACTGTATTTTGTATTTTTTATACATTCAGAGTATGAGTATGGCTAGGAGACATAATGCTATCTCCTTGGTAAATGAATGGTTCCTACTATACAGGTAGCTGAGCTCCTTAGTCCCTAATGGGTTAAATCCTGATAACACCCTCAAATCAGAATATCAATTTATTCTTACCTTACAAATGGGGAACCAAAAGACAAAAGTAATATGATTTCTCAAAATATAGAGAAAATCTGTGATGAAGAAGGAAACCAAACCTCAGTCTCCCAAATCCTACAGTAATTGTCTAGCAACAAGTTCATAGAATCATATAATGGTTTGGGTTGGAAAGGACCTTAAAGATCACCAAGTTCCAACCCCCCTGCCAGGTTCTCTTATATCTCCAGAAAACTAGCAAAATACAGTCTTTTCAGCAGAATAAAGGCAACTAAAAAAATTTTCTAACTTTTCAAAAGCACATTACAAATACAATTTACCTAATTTACAATGCAAAATGCAGTGATACAAGAACACGGGTCGGGGGGGGGGAGGGGAAGAGTGAAAAGCAGTACAAAACAAAACTCGGAGAGCTTCTCTAGACTACCAGTTTCTCCAATAATCAGATTATGAAGAAAAGCAGCACAAAATAAGAAAAAAACACTGGAAAACAGCTAAGGTTATGTTACTATGACAGATTATACTATTAGACATTTGTTGCAGATAAAAAGCAAATAGGATACTAAGTAACGTACAAAGCAGTCAGATTAAACACAGTAAATCCAGCTTTTAAAATAATTTGCCGAAATTGCCTGTAAATCCTAAAACCATATTTGCAAACCAGGTACTTAACATGTTACCTCCTTTACTCACCAAACTTACTCCACTAGTTTACATGAATTGACAACTAATTTCGGCTACCATTTCAACCCAGGCACAGGAGATTTTCCAGCTTGCTTTGGTTGTTTTCTTTATATAATCTGAGTATTTATAGATCTTGAATATATATATTTTTAGTATGGAATATATAGATAGAGATCCTGAAATATACTGTGAAAACAATATGCCAAAATGAGTTACTGAGTCTATACATCACTGCACATGCCTATGTTTCATTCCCTTACCTTACATATCTGCTCCTGGACAGCATTAGAGAAAGGATACTGGGCTACAAGGACACAGTACAGCCACCTTAATTTCTGTTGAAGAAAGCCTGATTACATCCTTTTAGCTTCAGAATTGAATCCCACAATGTTCCAGTCCTCCCTGCTCAACAACCAAAGACAAGACTCTGAAGTATACGAAGCCTTTTAAAATCTGGCCTTCTCTTAACCAAGAAACAAGTCATGGTTCTCACAGAACAAGAAGCAAAAATGAAGAATCGCATACATGCTCCAGGGAAACAGGGAAAAAAACACCACCAAACCAAAATAAACAAAAACCCCAAACAGTCAACATAGTTAGAGGTATACAGTTTCTCAGTTAAATAAACTTTTCCACCCACCTCCAAAGGCATCTTCTGTCCTTACAGAAGGAAACAGAAAATAATCATTTTACATTAACAGAATTCATGGAACTCAGCAGAATTTTGTTTGAAATTCTTTCCCAGAACTTAGCTTTATACAACTTTTTCCCTTTCATCTGCAGGGCACCGTGTATGTTTGGGGGAACAGATGGCACGAGCTGAACTGTTCATCTTCTTTACCAACCTGCTTCGGGCATTCACATTCCAGCTCCCTGAGGGAGTAAAGGAAATCAATCTGGAGTACATTTTGGGTGCAATACTGCAGCCACATCCGTATAAACTCTGTGCTGTTCCACGCTAGTCTGCAACTTACTACAGTGCGGAGGGACTTCAACCAGCCAATAACTGCAGATATTTTACAAACACATACTACTATCTCCATTGTATTCAAATGTATGTAGCTCATACAGCAAATTAATATAGAGTGTTTTTCTCTAGGAGGTCTGACCTCATATAGTTGAGCTTTTTGAAATTAAAAGAAGCATACTTGCTGAAGCTCATATAATCGCATCTTAGCCATACAGAAGTACACATTAATACATCACCACGAAAAATGTATTTTCACACTCACAGTAGCAATGAATTAGATGTAGGACTTTAGAGAAGTGATCTGTATCAAGCAGTTTCCTGCATACATGCTCAGTCAGGTATCACACTGGTAAAATGCCACAATTGTTCTGACGCAGCAATGATGCCTGAATAAAAAACAATTTTCTTCAGTATGCTGTTACTCCTCTGTGTTCACAGAAGGTGCTTTCTTACCTCCTTTTGCAGAAGGTAACAGAGTATACACGCTCAGTGTTGAGTCCTTTTCCTTTCACACTCACATAAAGCATTATATATTGTAGTATAAACTTCACACATGCATAAATGATTGCAGAATGGGGCCTCTTATAATCATAGTCCATTTAGAAATCCTTATACATTTTTTCTTTACTTCCTCAGCATCCATTTCCTATTTTATCACAACTCTGGATCCAGGTGCTTTCATGAACCTTTCCTTCTTCTGTTTAGAAATACTATTATATCATCCAATAATTTCCTATTTGAAGGGAAAGGAACAGACTTTCAAGAAATCAAAAAAATAAACAGATTCCAACATTTGTTAAAGCAGGCACAGTAACGATTTATTACTCAAGGTGTTTTCCTTTGCTGTCTCATCATTCCACAATAGATGGGGAAAGTTTTGACCACTTAAAATTCAGCTGCAAGCATCCTAGATGCTTTCAATTTTCAAAGTTCAACAGGAGCAAGTATAAGTTATGCTACGATGTAGTTTAAAGCAGAAATAGAATATTACATATTTCTCAGACATAAAACTAATGGAAAACTTGAGATTTCCAATTATTCCCCTCCCTTTGGTGAAAATCCCAGGGCTCTAAACACACTATAAAGTTTGCTATGGCAGAACAAATGCAGGCTTGATATCATTGACGTTTTTCACCTTTTTAATAAAAGACATCATAAAACTTTCAACATTACTCCACTTTTATTGAGGAAAATATAACATCTAAAAAAATCTTCCTTGAATAAGAAATACTTTCAAACATAAATTAGGAAAAATCTCTTAAACTTCATATTTCTTACATTGAGGGCAGATATTACAAAAAACACATTCTTAGAGATTTACAAAAGCAGTTTGACATTATAGTACATAAACAAAAGTTTTCAAGTCTGATAATTTTCCTTTGTGGTGTTCATTAAAGAAAAAAACTCACCAAAAAATTTTTCTTTTCAACCCAACATTTGCATGGTTCGACAATGGGCCCATGGTAAAGTGCTCAGCAGCATGACTGGCAGTGTAGGATACAAGCTCACACTTTCTCTGCTCCAGTGTATTTTTATGATTCTTGAGATATGTCCTACCTGAAAAAAAAGTCTCCAGTTTCTTTCCTCTACGTTTGCCCCTTTGGTCTCCTGAAGTTATTCTGTAAGCTTCATTTTAATTTGTTTTTCCCCAAAAATATTATTTATTTATGCACATGTCTTCTGGTTTTCTTCTAAAACTGTAGCTTGGGTTAAAACACACGCATATTCTTCACCTGTATTTTTGAAGAACTGAGGTACATTATGAAGATTTGCTCTAAAATGCTGGTTCTAAAAAACACGGGAAGAACAAATATTCAGAGTGTACATGATTGAGGAGGTATTTTTACAAAGAAGTCATTGTAGGCCTGACAGTTGGTACTAGTGAAAAACAGCAGGGCCAAGAGTATCTTCTTGTTATTCCATTTAAAACTGAAAACAGCAAGAGGTGAGGCATTCCTTGGCCTTCCAATGTTTCTCAGAATGAGAGCGGGAGAGTTCCAGGTTACCTTTTCATCACAGTTGTAAATGAAATCTATAAGAAAATGAACAACGGAAAAAAAACCAAAACTATTTCATTAGTTACCCTTTTTGTCAAGAAAGAGAAGACATTCATAAGGAATTGAAGAAAATCAGAGAAAAGGTAGATTTAGAAATTAATGACAAAATGCAAGCTTTCCTGTGAAACATCTTAAGAAACCTAAAACACACGAATCCCATCACTTCAGTAATTAGAAAACTCATAAACAAACTTTTAGAAAAATACACTGACTTCCAGCTCTGCTGTGATGCACCCCTTAGAAATCAAGAGCCCAACTTCTCAGCAAGGCAGACTGTCTAGATCCTCCACAGGTTAAACCCCTGAAAGCACAGAATGATTTAAAGTTCAGCCTTTACAAAAGACTACGCTGTTGAAGATGAGTTTCAGACATTAATTTCTGCCACTGATAAGAAAACTGTAACTGCTATTTCCAAATTCTTCAAGTTTTCAAGTCCTGAAGAATCTATACTGTTCATTCCCTTGATGTCAGCACCCTTTGCCCAAGTCCAACTGTTTTCATGGAACAATATAAAAAATATATCTTTGAAAATATTCCTTCTGTTATAAAGGCCTTGCGATGTTTTGTTTCCAAACCAACAGCAATAAAGGACTTCATTACATACTTCAGCTCCTAAATATTAAAATAACAAGCACCATGAGGAAAGTACACGCAGGTCTTTACCCATTTTTGGGAAGCACAAAATCCATAGTCTGTGAGGTTTCAAGGACAAAATGTAATCATTGGCCAACATGACCTAGACTAAGAAAATTGGTAAACCAGTTCTAATCTCGGGTGAAGAGTTTTTCCTAAAATTTTTGTTTTGTTTTTATTAAAACCTCAAAGGAAAAGAGACAAGTATCTAGACTGCCTAGTTCTCACCTAATTAGCAGAGTATTACCAAGGGCATGTTTTGATCCACCAATGAAATCAGGTATCTTTAAATAATTGTTAAAATAACACATTCAAAGTTCTCCTCTCCACCCAGCAAAAATACCGTAAATGTTACTCGGCATTAACATCCAAACCTTCAATTTTACACACAAATCTAACGAAGCAAAAGATAATCCTAAGCATTCAATAGTGGCGTTGACTTGATCAGCATGGCTCGCACACCTCAAAGGACTATAATGGTTGGATACTATGTGGGCTGGCTGTGAGGAAACAAGTAAAAACCAAATCTCCAGTGTCCTGAAAACTAACCTGTGGATTGTCTGTTTGCTTTTCTCCTCTTTTTGCTGTGTTAAGTCTTTACAACATTATAATATCATTAGAATTCCTAAATTGCAATACGTAGGACCCCAAATTAATATCAAAGCAAACCAGATGGAAATATACAATATGCAATTAAAGCTAGCAGATCTATGGTGACACCAAGAATGAATGTATCAAAATAAACCCAAACACATAAAAGAGTGTTTACAGTCTTGAAAGCAAATATAAAAGTCAAGTACAACAACCTACTCATCACCAATAGTCACTGAGGTTACAGCAGAGGTAGGTACTGGGCAATGGCTTCAGAGAGTAAATAATAACTTTATAAAATAGTCATACAGAAGCTTCCATGGTGTGAAAAGACAAATTTTGTTAGCTGCTAACAAATGCTACTTTTCCGGCTGAGAAACAAAAAACCAAAGATTAACTGCTTTACTGATTATCAGTTTGCAACAAATAAATTAGAACATTCAAAGTCCAGCCCTCTAGTACATGACTCTCAATATTAGTTAATAGATAATCCTTGATGACCTTTAGAACAACTGAAATTAAAAATGTATCACTTACTTCTTGCAACACTTGTCCAAGTGTCTCCCGGCTGTGAATACGCTTCCTGTTGAAAACCCAAACCACATTTATTTCTGAACAAAGCACTGAGGGATCTTGTAAACATCAATCATTTCTCCCACTTCAAAAAGAGCAGACTGTTATGCTAGGCTTTGTTCCACATTCTTTCCCTTATGGAATCTTGATGCAATTTTATAGAATCTTACAGAATCTACAAACTCCAACTCAGACCTGTCATTATTCATATCAGGGGGAACAACCTGGAACAAGGCCTGCTACACATTGCATTTTCTCAAAAACAACCCTATTTATTAAAAAGCTTAGTAAAATTTCAGAATAAATCCTAATATCCAGATATAGCTGATAATTAGTTGCTTTAGGGCCATCTCTTCCAGCACTAGACATCTGTTAATCTTTTTGCATCAATTGCTGAGTAACAAATATTTATTTTTTAGTCATTTTTCCAACATAGTTAACATGATAAGCAGGTTCGCAAACTTAACAGCAATTAAAAGACTTAAAATTAAAAAAGATGAAGATTTTCTACCTAAGGTGCGAACACACTGCTAACACTTCTTGTTTCCAAACATCCTGTAATACATGCACTAAAACTACTCAAAATGCAAATAGATGGCAAGGTATTTTTACCTGTCTATTTTGGTTGCTATGACCACTGTAAAGTTGCCTTCTGTATTGGGCAAGTATGTAGAAGGTATAATTACATAACTTCCTGCAGGAAGTCTGCAAAGTTGGCTTACTTCCTGTGAGTAGCAATGAGGTACACAGCTAACCAGTGGCTCCAAGTGTAGAAAAGAGGAAGTATGTGGTTTCCAGCTGCTACTAGGTACCTGCAAAAAAGAATGAAATCATGCCTATCTTTTCATCTATTTCAGGCCACACAATGTTAAATTCCTTCAAATTCCTGGTATACTTTACTATGGTATGTTGCATATCTGTTCCACTCCAAATACTCACTCTCCTATACAGAGCTACATGAGAGGGAGAGGAAGGCTTCCAGAAAACCCAGAGGGCAGTTTCAAGTACAGATAAACCATTCCTGCCATCTTTGTAGACAGTTTATACAACCCCATACCCACATAGCTCAAAGGCTTTTTCTGCTGTCTGATCTCACTCCTCCTTGCTGCACCCTAAAAGCACTTGTTTTTCACCTCATAGATATGGTGAACTACGTCCTTCCTCTTTTCTAGTGGCTTCTCCTGCACTGAAAATTCATATTAGACTTCTTCTTGGACTCCTATAGGCATGAAAAATGTCATTCTTTCAGTCTTTCTTCACATATTGTATATATGAAGCTATATGATCACTTCTAATGCTCAACTCCAGACTCTCACATAAGCAACATCTTTTCTGAAGCATGTTTTCTGAAAAAAAAAACAATCTAGCATTCCCTGCAAAATAACCACCTAACCAGAAGCTTCTCATCCCACATTTATGCAGCTGATTACTGGCACATACATGTAGAACCTCTATTTGTCCACACCAAATCGCATCTTGTTTTGTTTCAGATCATCTGTTCAACATATCACAGTCCTCCTGAATTCTAATCTTGTCTGTGGATGCAACACCACTTGCCAATGGGCTAGTAAATCATAGAATCATTAAGGTTGGAAAAGACCTCAAGGATCATCAAGTCCAACCATCAATCCACACCACCTAACTAATAGTTATTAGAGATTAAGAAAGTTTTCACGATTGATTACTAAAAAGTCTGGTCCTTAATCATTAAGACACCGAGAATTTTTTGCAAAACCTGAAGAGTTCCTCATTTCTAAAACTAATTTAGAACATTGGAAGGATTCAGTGGAACCAATTACCTGGTTACTATGCTACGCAGTGTCGCAGTGTGTAGTTGTTCCGTACCTTTCACGGGCATTGCATCACAGGACCAGCCTGTGTTTCTCCTAGAAGCAGGACATGCCTTGCCAAGTACAAGGAACACTGAACTAACTGCCAGGCTTACCTTCACGCTTGGCAAATGAGCAACCAAACTGGCCAGGAGAAGTCTTACCTGGAAAATATGGAAACCTATGGGACGACACTTGCTATCTTGGCAGTGCTGACGAAGCGTAACTTTCACACTGCTTTTTCCTGGTCCTGCAGGAATGGAGAGGGGAAAGCAGGGATTGATATGGAAGGAGGGGAAGTTCCTGCTACCTCCAGCGCTTTGCCCATTTTTCCAGCATCCACGCAGCTGCACTGTCTCCCATTCACCTGCTGGGAGTTCTTCACAGAGGGCAGCATCTGCGGGCGGTGGTTTTAGCTCACTATCAAAGAGAGAAAAAAACCTAAATGTACTAAATTTGTATGATTTCACAAAATCTAGAACACCAGCTCACAAAAATGAACTAATATTACATAAATACAATTCCTCCAAACTTTTACCACAAAGAAAAAGAGAACCGTACAATTCTGAGTCCTTAGGTAACTCACACATCTCTACAAGAACACAGCCTACACAAACCAGGCACTAAAACCAGATAGATTTTTGTACATTCATGAAGTAATGCAGCTTACACATTTTTCCTCAATACTCCTGCGTTATTTGTCCTGTTTGAAAGCGATACAACTGACAATGACTTCTGGAGTACACAAGAGCACCTCAGTAAGCCTAAAGCATATATTGCACTATTTTTTATATTCATTATGTCTTTAATTAGAGGAAACTACCATTTTACCTCTGACTTGATCACTGTAATGTTAACGCCTATTTCAATCATAGCCCAGCCCTGCTTTTCACAGCAGTGTGAACAATTTGGTATCATTGTCAGTTGTGCAGCGTTTGAAATTGAATTTCAACAGAGCAACTGTCCTCATTTCCAGTTTTCCAGTTGAGAATGTGTAACAGCTGTTGTGTTATTCTGCGATTGTCCATTCCAGACATGTATCCAGGCTAGCACCTCCGTTTCAATCTGAGGAAGTGTTATACTTAACAGCAATCCTAGAAATTTTATCCCATCATTGGAAGTGCAACACGCTGTACAGATAAAATATATCCAGAAACCAAATACGTTGCTGATAGGAAGTACAAAACTCGCACCCATACAGCAAAATTAGCCTAGTTTTGCAGACCTTTATTCAGTCTAAAACTTGATGCCATCTTGCTTCCAAATTCCGCCAAGTAAATGATTAATGCATGTTCCGGCTTTGAAGTGTGATTTGCCAGCTTCTCTCCAAGGAGATATGAGTTAATAGTGTACTATCAGGAAATAAAAAAATCTGAACAGCTTTTAAAGATGTTGCCAACAGTACATTTTGCCTCTGCATGTAGCTTACCTGGCACAAGCTGTTAGACAACCTTGGATTTTTTCAGGTTTATTCGAAGAAGGTACAACTTTGCTGACTCCACACAAGATGACCCAATGATGAGTACTTAAGTATTTATTTCAAGGCTATGGTCACCAACACATAACCACTCACAAGTAACTGACTTTAAAGTGTTGAGATAGCTATGTAATCTGCTACAGTTAAAAACATTAGAAGCCGTCAGAAGCTACTGGACTGACACTGCTGATATTTTTCTATTGGATAAGCAAGCATTGCTAAACAGAAGGAAAAGATTGTTCTAAGTCTGTTATAAAATCTATTTCACTCCACAAGATATGAGGTATATCATAACGCCGGTAAACTTTGAGGCTTTCAAAATTAAGAAGTTCAGCTGTATTGCCAGTGTTAAACACTTTTAATTCAAAACTAATTCTTCATTCAGCTACAGAAGACAGCATAAATTTCAGTGCTATTTTCCACACTTATCCTGCAAAGATGAGCTGTGAGCACTGTGTCATCTGAGTCCACTGCTGACACTCCACTTGCATTTGAAGCTGTATTGCTCACTAATAACAACATTATATATCAGGCAACCTGTTAGTATGCGTTTTTCAGCATACATGATAATATACTGCTTTCCTTTCCTGTAACTTTTAACTTCTGTGGTACATCTTCATTTTTTCCATATAATAAGAAAGAACTTCCACATATTGAGAAACACATTCTGCAGAAACCTGTTCAGTTCTTTTACAAAATGCGCACTTTCTCAAAATGCTAGGCTGCAGTTTAGAGTCAAGATGCTACTCGTGGCTATTTCTCACTACTATTTTAACAAGAGGTAGCAGTAGCTTCATGAAACAAACAAGGAGATAGAACACTACTTACATGAATTCAAAGATAAAACAATGCTGTTACTTGGTACTCCGCACAACCCTTCAAAACATTTTACACATTTACACTCAGTAAACATATTTGTTTATGTCAACAACTATAAGCAATTTTCTGTTCTGTTTTAAGTCTACCTGAGAGAGATCCTCCCCGTTGAAAATACACGAAGCAAGAAATTCCCTGCTGCATCTTTCAGAAAAGTGCTGGGAACAACAAGATAAAACCCAGGCGAAAGGTCACAGCATACATGCACTTCTCTGTCATAGGAATGGCAGACAGTACCTACAACTGGAGGAGCAGAGAGGGTCTTTGGAAGGTTAAATCGTTTCTTCTCCACCTAGAATAAATGCATAATGAAGCTTGGTGTTTTAGGAAAAAAGAGGAGTTTTTAATAAAACTAAAAATGATCAAATATTGTTTAAAACATTTTTAAACATGCATACATTTACAAAAGGAAACAAGTAAGGAAGAGAGTATCAGCAGATAAGCTGAACATCAAAGAAGTATAGGAAGAGTTAATATTCAAGAGAAGTAAATTTAGGAACAGTCATCAAGTAATCAGCCTGAAATGCCATGCTCTAGTTTGGAACGGTCCCAGAAGTTCTGCTACTGGCCACGCAACAATAAGATGGAAGTACTAGTCCACTAATAGTTTGTACAGACAGTGACTGCACTGTGAGATAAACAGGATCATTCTAACATAAATCACAGGTGTAAGATGTGTGAACAGTTAAATCATATCATTGCCATAAAAAATGAATTATTTTATTCAGATGTTTCAGCAATGCTTTAGAACTTCTATTTGAAAAAAAAAAAAAAAACACCACAAAAAAAACCCACATCACCCCCATATTACCTTCCAGACATGCAATCCCACAGCCTGATAATTCTTCCCCTGTATGCCTTCAGTCAAAGTTAGGTTTTCCTCTGCTAAGCGAGTCAGATTTTTAATTCTTCCAGCCCAGTCAGCACTGTATTTCCTATGGTTCTGCAGCAGAGCAATGCACACCTCACTCTTTTCACAGACTCTCAGCCAGAACTTTGGGTTGGTAGGGAAACTGCTGTTGTTACGGCAGCCACCTGCAGACTGGCCCCTCACCCAGGATCCAAAAAGATTCTGCGAGTAATACAGCACTTTCTCTGACAAAATAAGAAAAACATGGTGTGGATTTCAGACATCAGAGGCTACTTAATTTTACACAGCTGACATACAGCAGAGACTCCCCAGCCCAAGAAAACATGCTGTCAGAGCCCTGACACTTTCTCCAAGCAGATACTCATGAACAAGATTTGGAGAGGCATGAGAATTCATGTTACAACTGCTAATGCAAGATCGAATACATTATTTTTACAACAAGAAACTGTTTCTAGAAATCTGAAGTTTATCTCCTATTAAAAAAAATATATATCTATCTCAAAAGGTTGTCCAGAAAAGTAGCCTTCTAGATAGAGAACACTAATCTCTCAACAAACTAGCAAGTAACTAGATTTTAGAGAAGTATTGAAGACTCCTCTAAAGATCTTAAATTTCCTCTTGTCCCTCTATTTTTCCCAGTAGAAACAAAAAAGGCCTATGAGTCTAAAGGAGAGGGAAAGACTAAGAAAGATAAATTATGGTCTAGTTGTATCAATTTGTAATTCAAATCAATCTTTCCCATTGACATAATGTTATTTGCATGAGAAAAATGTTTTCTCGTACTACACCTGTATAGAGGCTCTGAAGTTGTCCTTCCTCATTGACTGGAAAGCCCATGGTAATCTCATCAAATTCCCTGAAAAATTCCTCTTCATCAACCCAGAATTCTCCCTCCTGGATCTGTGAGAGCAGTTCTGAGGCAACTACTGGATCTAGCTGGCTCCATCCTCGGCCACTGCACATGAGACAGAAGTTAACATTTAGTTCTTTGCCCAGTAAAGCTCCATAACAATGATCCATCAAATATCCATGGAGCAGGATAGCAAAAAGAGGTTTCTTCATTTTATTGTCAAATACTTGCATTGAATATTTCCTGTATACACATTGCTAGTCAGTGAGAAGGATAACGGAAAGCATGAATCACAACCTATCAAAGAATACTCAGACACAACCTAACACCAGAGAGGATACAGCAGCGTATTTTCAGGTGGAAGAGCTACTTTACTTTCAACAGGAAATACAGTCCAAAGTGTGACAGCAGAACAAAGATTATAACAGTTGTTAAAAAAACTAACAAAAAAAGTAAAACAAGCTGCACAGTAACTGCTCTGAAAGAATTTTAATGCTTTATCGTGAACATCAAAACCCACTTTTTGTATGAAGCAGCCAGTTATCCCCACAAATCTGCTGGCTAAGTCATGATAAACCAAGAAATCAAACACCTCATTATTTAAGGCCCATTAAAACCTAGTACTTTCAACATTTTTTATTGTTTTAATAACAACAAAGAACAATTCTGCACTTGAATAAAACAGGGCTCAAAGGCCACTCTGTGAAATGCTATCCTCTGGCAACTACGTGGTAATTTATTGTTCGGCAAATAAACTACAAGAGACCAACTGTATAATCAAAACTCTGCCAAAAGCAAAAAAACTCAAGTCTCAATTAATGCAATTAAGGCATCTTTTTAACTCAGGGAAAAAAACCTATTTCTCTAAAATGTTAACATGATCATATTGTTACCATATTTTAATGCTGAAAGCTTGCTCCTTGGGTCAAGAATTGCATGTTCTTTTGTACAGTCTAAATATGCTAATATTTCTCAAAATAAGCCAGTAGAGTCTGCCCTTTCATTCTTCTGACTTTGCTATATGAACTGCTGAACATATTTCTGCATTTCCTTTAAAACAGATCTCTTCTATCTACTCGATTCCAGTTTCTCCTACTCATATTGATCTACAGAAATGAGCACACAAGAAAAAAGCATAAGCATCCTTCCTGTTGCAGTATTTTGTTTTATACGTACTCCTTTGCTTGCCTTCTGCAACTGAGACAAGACCAAATGAGAACAGATGAGTAAAACTGAGTGACTACAAGTCACAAATGTCTTATGAGCAAAGATACTTAGATCAGTTGCAAAACATCAAAAAAGTACCACAAAAAATCAGAGAAAGAAAATAAACCAACATCTTAAGTTTATCTCTACAAAAAGATATGATGCTTTGATAAACAAACAAAAAAAATTATTTAAAAAAATTAAGATTATCAGAATAGATCAAAACGACTAGTCTTAGAACCAATAAGCTGTGTGAACTACTGAACTCTCTAAAGGTTTGCATACAAACTGAAGTTTCTCTCCTCCACTATAGCCTACGAGCAATATTCGCCTTTGCAACAGATAGATAAGTTTTCTGCTTCAGAACTTTCACCAATGATTTTCCAAGTGAAAATAAACCTACTCACCCCTCACACCAGGGACCTCTCCAGCACCGCCTCCCCCAAGGATTTCTTATTCGTAGTAGAAAGATTTCCTTGCCTGACACTTGAGACAGATTCAACATGTCTATCACAATAAAGGCATGAAATTCTCCTAGTTCACTTGCACCTGAATAGAAAGAAAAGCATCTGAAAGTAAACAAAAGAACCTGCTCCATTTTTCACAATAAATTACATTATCCTGTGAGAGAAGGCAATTTTGAGTTAAAAGGAAATTGTTTTTAAATCAGCATAAAAACATAATCAAAAACCCCAAATGGTTTATTTTATTTGACTATACAGAAATAAAGTTTTACAGCTAATTAACTCACTACTTGATCTCAAACATCTATAAATTCTCAATGCTGAAATTCATTGGGGTTTTTAAGGTTTTTTTTAGGTTTTTTATCCGGGGGGAGGGGGAGGAGGGGAATGCATTTGCTTTTGAGAATTGACCCTACGAGCATCTTAATATAAAAAGCACTCCTCAAAAGCACCTTCTGTTCTGAACTCAACAACATCCTTAAATCTTTGTTTATCCAAGGTTATATAAAATTGCATGATGATACTGGCATGGTACTAGAATCAGGACTATGCATTTGCTGTCTGCTTTGTGCTCTGAACACCATTAAATCAAGATGTTTACTTTAAAAAGTCTAGAACTTTACTATTACCTTGTCTGGAATTGAGGACCGAGCAGCTTATTACACACTGTTCCTTCAGGTTCATTAGTCTCCTGAACACTGCTTTCTCCAAAACCATGCCAGTCTTCTCTTTCTCCACACTTCTTCCAGGGTCTTTCAGGGTCCATCTTTCAGCAATTCCTCCGGTCAGATCAACCAAAGCATCTGCCACCTGTCCTGCCCACAGCTGTTCGTAAGATCCATGCAGTCTGTAAAAACAAAAACACCAAGAAAAGGCTTCTGCAAACAGAAGACCTAAAGAAACACAGTTTTTATGTTCTTTCATAATTATGACTGTACAGTAACTCATATCCCCAAGTAAGCAAGAGAAAAGACCTACTATTTTATTTATACAGAATACAACATCTAGAGAATACATAAGCCATCAAACATTCCATTGTTTGATGGGAAGTTTATTACAATTCATTCCACCATATATATAAACTGCCCTAGTCTAGTCATTTGCACCTTAATATCTGTGCGCTACATCATCTGCATTCTGTATAAACAAATAACATATCTTCCTCTTCTTCAATTATTCTTTGTTCATGCTGCACAAACACCCTTCAATAACTTAAGTAAATCAAGAGACCAGCCTACCTGACGCAGTGGATGCAAAAGATAGCAAAAGAAATCAAGACTATAATGGAATGATAAGACAAGAGAGAACGACAACACTGCACAGAAAACAAAGAATATTATCTTTCAAACCTACAAAGAAGTTTTAAAATGCCATTGCTACTTCACAACTTCTGCCCAAAGTATCTACAGTTAAATAAATTACTTCATACTTAAAAGTCTTTTTCTGCCCTCTGCTGGCAATCACAGTCTTTCATACAAGTCCTTCTGGATATTTGATGTCAATCTTACCAGTGCACTTTGTCTCAAAATTGTTTTGTCCATCTGGACAGCATTTTGATGGATGTGTCATAAAACACAAAGTAGCTGCATTTTCAAACACATTAACAATATGGTTGTTTCTTCTCAAAATAATAAACTATCAAATTAAGCAAAAGAGCAGTGAAACTCACGCAACAAGAGCCTCAACTAGCATAACTTACATAATGTTGTTTCTTTCCTTGAAAATATTTGCATGCTTTCTGCTTTTCTTTGAGCCCTCAGCTGCCCTCAAATGCTGCACTAGTAAAATATTTCCCTTAATAAATTAGATGGCCAATAGACAGTGACTTAATGAACATAATTTGAATCCTGATAGTTCATTGCAGTTCTTATTTTTCATCATAATTCCCTAAGACTACCTCATCTGCACCTGGAAACACACCTTACAGATCTACAGTTTAAAGAAGAACTTCTGCACAACCCAGTATGGGAAAGCAGAATAATATGGAGATCTATGCCCAAAACAGTCATATAAAATAAGTACGCAGAAGGTACACAAGTACTGTACCTTCTTTACTTCCCTCAATAACAGTGTTCACATACTTTGCATAAGCTTTTTCCAACAGTGGAAGCCAAAACAAATCTTCTGTCTGACACTGGGAAAAGCAGAGTTTACCACCAAGGCAAGGCAAACGATCGTCAATGGTTACTTCCACCCAGTGTCCAAACTGCCAGACTCGACAAGTGAAACAGCCTTGATATGATTCATCTGTCCAGCTGGGCTGACCTGGAGGGATCACCTAGATGGCAAAAGCCAAATCAAGACAAATAATGCTTTTTTTTTTTTTTTTCTCCTAAACAAAAACAGTTTAAAATATGCTGAAAGTTAACTGTTTGTAATAATCACAGAAAAAAAATCATAACAAAACCAGTGAAACTAAGCATAACAAAACTGATGTTCAGTTTTGAGACCTGGGATTCAATAGCAATACCCAAATGTAAATTAGGTGAAAAAAACTTCTTAAACATGAAACAAGTAAATTCACTATACCTTATTCAGTAGGTATTTACTCTTCTGCAAAGCTACACAGGCACACAGGAACCAACAATCTCCCAAAATTCCTTGTTTCACTTGCACATCCTGCAGATTGTTTGAAAATAACCGAGGAGAGGAACAAATGTCCTAAAATCAAAAGAAGGGGAGTTAAAGCCAAATCCTGCATGATAGTCAAAGGAAGTCTGTGTTTGAGGGAATGTAAGGGCTCCAGAAACCTCTTACAAAATGAGGGAGTTTTTACCTCTAAAACATTTCCTCTTCAGACACAGCCTAAGCAAGCAATAACAAATTACTGTGTGGTGGCTATTTTGCAGGTACTTTACATGAGGTAAATCTAGTTCCCACATGGATTTTAGTATAGAAATCCCAGCACCAGGTGCGACCTTAGCAGAGGCACCAATAGGACATCAGCTCCCTGAGAGACAAATGATCAACCGTGACAAATAGAACTGATGCCGTTCACGTTGCATTGCACAGCCCAAATTAAAAGAATCTCCAAACCAGTATAAGAAAAAAACCTTTCCTAGGCAAATAAAAACAGTTTATTTGGTAGCAAAAGAGGTATTTCAAATGCAAAGTCACAAACACTTAATTGGATCTGAAAGTGAGTTTTTAAAATGAATCTTCTCTCACCTGCAAGCACTGCAAGATCTGGAAATTAACTGATCAGCCCTCAGTAGTAACCAAGGTGTCATATCAGTCCTTTGCTTAACGAAACACATTTATGAAAAAATATCTGAATTTCTACTAGTGCCATGAAATTCAAAAGCATACATTAGGATTTAAATCAGACCTACAAATAAGCATCCAGACTTAAAAACTATAACACGCATACTGTTAACACTGACATACATTGGTTTTATCAATTCTGTATTTCTAACCAATAAAAACACCCAGAACCAGTCACTCAATGCTAACTATCATTTACTGCCTTAAAGTCCAGTTCTGTTAAAATCACAGCCCTTTGTACCTTAAAACTCACCTTAGGTCTCAACCAAGATATCTCGCCTCTGAATTGGGCCAGTGGGGTACAATAATCAAAAAATATAGAGGTGTCACTGGCTGGAAACGTGGGGTCTGTGTAAAGGTCTCTTTTCACCATTAATTGCTTTTTCTCTCCCAGCATTTTCAACCCAATCCTAAGTAACTTTGACGGCTATTTCCACAACTTTATATTGCCGAGCACCAACCTAGAATGTAAACGAGCGTTACTCGGGAAGGGAAACAAATGCGGCAGAGATTTATTTAGGAACAGAAAGCCTCTCACTC